TGCCATCTTCCCAAGAGAAAGAGCTTTGCTTTCAAACCCCCATTGCCCTGTCCTCCCCAACAGGCTCAGGAAGTCTGGCTGCCAGCCACTGCCCCTCCTGCTCCACTTCCGACCTCTTTCCTACCCAGGACAGACCCTACACCTTGGTGCCCCGCCCCCTCCCCAAACTGACTGCACCTCTGTCTGGAAAATCTTGTTTTATTTGAAGAACAGAACTGTTCCTTCCTCCCCCTTGGTGATGAGGAAACATTCTGTTGAATTTGGCACTGGCACTTCTGGGAGACCTTGGCTGTTTGTAATTTGATGCTATCAGGTTGTTGTGTAACCTTTCCCGCTGGGAAGCTGCTTGCATCCTGGGCCTTCTGTCCCTTTTAAGGTAGGGAGTAGGGCGAGGAAAGGTCAAAGATGCTGAGGAGTGGGTTGATAAAGTCAGGGACAAGGGAACTTGCCCCTTGGCCCTGGCAGGGGCAGGGGTTGCTGATGAGGACCTAGCAGAAGTCAAAGTGTGTCTCTTCCTGGGCTTTGGCCACCAGGCTTGGTGAAATGTCCCCATCTACAAGATCAAGGCACTTCAGGCCAGCAATAGTCCCGGGGCGAAGCTGAGGTCCCAGGAACCCATGTTTCTAGAAAATGAGTATAGTACAGGCTTGCTTGGCCAGGGCACATATTTATATTTAGAAAGGAAGTCTGTTTCTTAAGTGGGTTACAGAATGTGTACTCTGCAGAACAGTGTTGTACAGGAGTCACAAATTCAAATACCTTCATGGGACAGGGTGATCTTCTAAAGGAACACAGGGTTACTTTGTCATTTTTGGGCAAGAGAAGGAATCCCGAAAACTGGAGAGAGGGCTCTGTCTAATGACATTCAAACTTAGTTACAAAGCAGCTGGGCATGATGGTGCAGTCCCAGCTACTCAGGAGGCTGAGGCAGGAGGATCACAAGTTTAAGGCCAGCCTGGACAACTTTTTTATGTTGGGATCCTGTCTCAAAATAAAAATAATAAATTAATTAAATAAATAAAAAGGCTGGGGGTTTAGCTTAGTGACAGCGTAGTTACCTATCATGTACAAGGCCCTAGATTCAAGCCTCAGTACTGAAAAACAAATTAGTTAAAAGGAAAAAATATGCCTACCAAGCAGCCAGAGGGCTGCATCCATTGTATGAGATGTCAGGCTGACACCTGTACTGTTTGCTACCTATAGGTAATTTTTTTTTTGGAGGGGGCGTGGTTTGCATTTGTTGGACACTTTCATGATGGGCTCCACGCAAAAATACCTTGCTGTGAACTTTATATCCATGATCTCATGAAACTGTTCCCACAACCTCATGAGGTACAATTTTCCCCCCTTGATGGCTCAGAGGGTTGAGGGTGAGTGAGGTTACAAGTTCTGCGAAGCCCACATGGTTAGTTAGGAGAGGCCCTGGAGTTAGGAAGCACATCAGCCTGGCTTTAAAGGTGCCCTCCTATGACCCTGCTCATAATTCTCAAACTCTGGTCCTCAGACCACTGGCATTAGAGTCACCTAGAATCAATGTTCCCACCTGAGACTTATTAAGTTAGGCTTTCTAGAGAACCCACGTTTTCGGTGAGCTCTTGCCTGGTGATTCTGAAGTGTGCACACCCCCTTTCTGACTCCATCGGTCTGTCGGATCAGGGCAGTTGGGCCCTTTGGAGAAAGGCGTAGGCCGGGGTGAGTCCTGCTCAGACTGCCCTGGTCACGGATCACCACAAAGCCATTCCACTTCTGTAGCCAGGGAAGAACAAGTAAGCAAATTCATGAATCATGGTTCTGTTTATATTTTAGTTGCTGAGGTTAAATATTTATTGCTTTAAGTAAGAGATTCTGCTTTAATTAGAGTCATAACCGACCACAAGTACATTGAAATGCATGCTCATGGCCTGAAGACAACCATTTCTCAACAGACAGCCAAATGCAACTAATACTTTTAATGTACCAGAGCCACGGATCAAAGTATTAAGGCTTATCTAACCTAATAGGCAGCTTTCGACTTTGAAAAGTGCATAGAAGTTTCATTTGTGGACTTATCTATTGTTCTTCTGTAATTTATCAGCTCACTTTTATGATACTGTGTTTTAAAGGTGGGGGCAGCCTAAAGCACTGATGAAAAAGCACATAGTTTTGAAGTGCATTGTGTGTTTGCTGATCTCACCTAGGAGGCGTGCATTCCCTGTTAAACCATTAGGAGAACTTTGCAAGATGTTGATGTCCAGGCTCCAGCCAGGCCAGTTAAATCCCAGTCTCTAGGAAAGGGATCTCGGAATGGGTAGTTTTTGAAAAGCTCCCCAGTGATTCTAACATATGCTCAGGGATGAGAACGACTAGAAATTTAATGGGTGTGTTGGCAGTTTAGTTAGTCTTGGATTCAAACTCCTACTCTACTATTTGCTACCTGTGTGACATTGGGAAATTACTTCACTCTGAGCTTTGGTTTCCTCATCTGAAAAATGGAGACAATATCACCTAGCTATTGTCATCATGTGGATGCAGTGAAATATTGCAGGGAGGAGCATTTAACTTTGTACTTGGTAGGGGCTCAATTAGTAGATGTTATTGTTACTGTTATTAACTCCGAATGCATGTCCATGAATAGGAGCAGGAGGAGTATTGGGGACCAGGGACAGCTATTGTGGACTTCGTCTTTTGCTGGTCCAGATAACCCACAGTACACCTCATTCGATACAAGCGCATTCAGCTGATAATTAGTCTCCACAACCCTGGGGATGGACAGAGAATGTTAGTCAAATATTTTTGGTCACCCCTAGCAATGCTGGTGAGAAAGTGGGGTTTGGAGCAGCACAATGTACAAGTCGGGAGTGATAAAAACATGTTTTTATACTTGCTTGCCCACACCCCAGTGTTTTAAGCTAAATATCTTTTTGGAGTACGGGTCTGTGGGCTACAATCCCTTGTGTGGCTGGCATAGGTAATTGTGCCCTACTGTTAAAGCCAGCACACAGGGTGCAACCGGATTAGCTGGCCGCCTTGACAGCTTGGAGGGGGATTGTCCCTTATGAAGCTACACTGGGGGCTTCCTCCGGCCACTCTCCCTCAGTCTCTGAATCTCACGCATGCTGCTGACATGTACATGCTTTATAACTGGCTGAATCCCTCCTAAACCCACCAACTTCCAACATTCTGTTGAAAGAGGACAAACGCAATGAAACATTTTCTCAGAAAAACAAATCAGGAAAGCCGGTCACCTGCAGAAAGCCACATGAAAGGTCATGGAAAACAAGGACAGTCCCTAATGGTGAAAAACCAGTTAGCAAATTTATTAACAAGGGGCCAGTTTACACTTCCAGAAACATCTTGGAGGCAGAGAAGGAATCTTGGGTCCCATTGTCTGTCATGGAGCAGACCCATAGCACTTGCCTTCTGGTCAGAGCTAATGGCTTGCTTCTTGGAACCAAATCCTTGGCCTTTCCTTAGCATCTGGCCTCAAAGGTTAAGCAGGCTTATTTGAATGTGGTGCGCCATGGGGATGAAACAGGCTCCATCTTTCATCCACTCAGACCCCAGGAGTCCACAAAAATACCCCCAGGGGCCAGAATGACACGAAGCACTCAGCACGTATGGGTGTTTCTTTCTTGGTATTTGAGCTTAAGCTGTAGCATAAGCCATGCATTCCAAGGCCACGTGGAAACACATTTTATGCTTGCTGGGGTTCTGGATTCTCTGTTCCATGGGTGTGAATAATTAGAGCAGACTCTGTGTATTTCTGGGAGACGTGGCTGCAGATGGGAAGACTGTAGCTGTGAAATGTGCGGGATCAAAGAGCTTCCCACCAGCCTGCAGAGACTTCAGTTGGCCTTTCCGGCCCTACACCCTTAAACATAAGCAGTCCATAGGATGGGGGTCGTTTTGTATTTTGTTTCTGACTTCAGTACTTGGGGGACTCCAAAGCTGGTTATGAGAAAGCCCCAAAATGCTGAGCATTTCCGGTGTGGTGTGCTGGGCCAGGGACATCAAAGTTTCCCCTGGCAGCAGTGTGAGTACAGAGGGGTGATGTCTTCCCCTTGGTCCCCCTGTGTCCCCCCAAAATTTCTTTCATTATTCACACAAGCCAAACATGGGGAAGTCGTATGATCACAGTGTGTGTGAGCCATATATAGCGCTTTCCAAAAAGGCTTTTTACACGCGAACTTTGCGGAATCCTTGGCCTCTGGCTCAACTAGGATGAGGGTGGGGCTGTGTGTGGGAGTGGTGGGAATGGTCATGGTTAATTCAATGCAACGTGCATTCAGGATGCTTCCATGAAACATGACCTCATCTCTTCCAGCCCGCTGGTTATCATTATCCTGGTGGTCACTTGTGACTTAGTGGTTATAAAAATAACCCCTCTGGTTACTAATGTGGAAATTCATAGATTGCATGTAGTTTATTCTTACCTCCTGCCAAGAGGCAAGAGGTTGGGGCTATTACTGACACTGTCTCTTCCACATCAGAACAACTCATCGGTTCAAGGAAAAACAAAGCAAAGCAAAACAAAAGTAAATAAAACAGCAAAATCCATGCCAGATCAGCTGGGCACTGGGCAGATTAAATAGCTGGGGAAGTCTCTCCCCTTCTCTCTTTTCAAGTAATTTTAATTTTTCTCCCTAAATAGTTGGTCACATTATAAGCAGTAGGAACACAATTCATTTATTCAACAAAAATTTGTTACACACCTACCAGATCCTGTGTGTACAAGACTGATGAGGTCAGGGTGCAGGGACACACAAGAAGCAAGTCAGTAAATCAATAATGTAAGTGTCATGTAGGGAATAAAATGGCATGTGAAGGCCAGTAAAATAAAAGAATGTATTGAAAGATATTGGTTATTGTTGTTGGGGGGGAGCTGATTACTAAAAAAACAGTCATTCCTATGTGGGATTATTAGAATCATCAGAGAGGGACTGTTCTCCCAGAGAGTAGCTCTTAGCTGAAAAGAAGCCGCAAGTTGTCACTGTCCACGAACCACCTGTTTCTTCTCACAGGCGGAAGTTCAGCCAAGCAGACCACGTGGGAAGGAGGGCACCGGGTCCCAGCCCTGGCTTACTGGCCCGGCCGAGTCCCAGCCAATGTCACCAGCACTGCCTTGTTAAGGTAGGAGACTCAGATTTCCTTGAAATGTGGAGGTTTAGAGCTAGAATAGTGGTGGACACTTGGGTGGCCAGAGATCTCAGGAAACCCATTTGCCACCGGCCTCGGCCACATCCTTCCAGAACTCAGAAAGCAGCAGTGTGGATTTACCCTTGGGCAGCACCATATGCTAATGAAAGTCGAGGTACACTGCAACTCAGCCATCCTGAGTGAGGGGGAGATCACGTTGGTTCACATCCTTAGTTCCTAGCTCTGGGTACCAAAGAGAAAGCAACAGCAAGAGAAGGCAGTGGCCTTGGTCTGGGCCATGCCAACAGTGGAGGAATATATCACTGCAGCCCTCCTGGTTCACCCTTGAGGTTAGAGTAGGTGCCCTAGATGTGGCTATGAGAAGCCAACATGTCACTGGCAGTCATATGGCCCCATGAAAGGAGCCCAGATGGACTCTCTTGTCCTGGAGAGGGGGAAGCAGGGAGGTAATCCCAGTGAGCAGTAGGAAAGGTAAGAACATTCTTCCTGCCTTCCACCATGCAGCATCTATGAAGAGGCAAGGCTCTAGGTACTTCCTTTCTCAGAAGGAGCCCTGGAGGCATTGATCTCTCACCATTGTATGAGAGCCAATATAGGAGGCCAAACTCCTAGCAGAGATCTTGGCTGTAGTGTGTCAGTGTGAAAGCAGTGCCATGCAGCTATGGAACTACGACTTATGATGGAGACTTCTCACTAGTTCAGAAGGGCACTTACTCCCTATGGTTCTGCCCAACAAGGGGGACCCTCCATAGAAGCCAGTGTTTGTTCATAGGTCCAGAGGTTTGGTCTGGTTACAGACCAGTTTCCTAGTTCCAGAGCTTCTTTTCCATTAGGCTAATGGACTTTGGCATGAAGAACACAGGCAAGTAGAAGAAAGCAATGTCCTTGGCACTGTCTAACATCTCCCAGCCCAATGGGGAGGGTGGGGAGAGACTTGAGCCCAGGGAAAGGAAAGGGTAAACAGCATTGATAGCCAGAGTAGTGGTGGGTAGGCATCATCCCTGGTAGCCTGCGGGGCCCTCAGGAACTCCAGGTCAGCCCTGTGCCATCAGGAGGGGGCAGTGTGCTGTCCGCAGCTGGAGCAGGTGTGACAACAATGGTGTGGCCTGAAATCTCTGATGTCAGCCTGGCCGGGATGAAAGCCAGACAGGCTGTCTTTATAGGGCGGACTTGGGTGTAGTCAGAGTGCTTATCGAGAGAGGCCAAGCGTGCACGGGCTGGGCTGCATGTGCACACATAGTTCAGCAGGCTCCTCTCCAGTTACATCGCTAAAAACCAAGTGGCCGCTTTTTGTTGGGTGGTGGTGTGTGCACCTGTAGTCAGCTCCTGCACAATGATAAACCTGTATCATCTTACTCATTATTGAGGGCTTTTAGAGGTGGCAGCTAACTGAGGAGATAGTTTGGTGATCAAAGGAAGTGGTTCTTGGTGCATGGTAGCATTTGCTTGAGGGGTCCTGGAATGTCAACCAGGACACAGCTAACATATGGTATTAGCCCTTTTAAGGATATTTTTGGTGTTAAAATAGTTCACATTGTAGCCAGACGCTTCTGCCTCGATAGAGTTGCCCTCCTGCCATTTCTCTGTGTGAATTTAAGTTGAGCTTCCTGATAGCCCCAGCAGGTCTCTATGTGGCTACTTCCCTTTCTCTTGACTTGCTCAGGCTGGCTCTGGGGAGAATGGGATTATTACCCATATTTGAGGAACTGGCTGTTCTCTGGAGCCCCAGTGCTTATTACCTGGTCTGGTACTTTGTTTATCAGAGGGTAGAAATCTTCCAGGTCAAAGATGAGAATTAACTGCTGAGAATTAAGGCCAGAGTCCCTTAAACCCATATGTACCATATAGGTTTATGGATGAATATAGAAAAGTAAAAAAGCCCTTTTTAGGATATTTGGAGGGAGTCTACCCAAATGCCACTGGTTATCTTTCAGCAATAAACAATGTTAATATTTGAGTGTGTGCCCAGTGTTACACTAAGATTACAGGTAGGTCTTGTACCTGACCTGTCCCCGAAGCGGGAGGAAACAATTACAGCATATAGAAAATCCATTATTTAACGAATGTTAATTGTATGTCCAGCTATGTATCCAGCATTGCCCCAAGGACTGGGGAGTTGGAAATGAGCAGATCAGACAGAAAAGCTGTTCTTTAGGAGCAAAGTTACATTCAGGAGGATGGGGTTTGGGCACACGTGAAAAAGGATCGATAGTTTTAACCTACAACTCTGGAGCAGAGTTTCTCAAAGTTGGCATTTTGGACTGCATAATTCCTCATTGTGGGGCCATCCCATGCATCGCGGGGTGTCTGTTGGCATGCCTGGGCTCTCCTCTCCAGCCAACTGTGACAATCAGAATGGCCCAGGCAGAGCCAGGTGTCTCCTAGAAGACCAAACATCGTCAACAATGGCAGCTGTAAGGTAATTTCCCTTGGCCTTACACAAACAAGGGAGGGGTTGGTTGGCCCTCAAGCTGGGAGACCCCCATCCCCATCCAGAATGAGGGCCAGTCTTTAGAGAACAGGGTCAAGCATGAAGTGACCAGAATGGAATAAAGGACATTAAACAATCTCTGTTGCAAAAACAGCTCAAACTGTTCCTCAGCCAGAAGAGCAGATAAACCCCTGGGGTCTCCCTGTGTTGTCTTAAGATTTCAGAAAGACAGCCACTAACACAGAAAGGGGACTAGGCTGGTTCTTGCATGTCTTGAGCCTTATAGCCAGTCCAAGAGCAGAAGCTACAAGGAGAACATGTTTGCATCAGCGTCCAGTGGTCCAGTGGTTCAGGTGTCACCCCTGGGGAGGGGCTAACCACAGGTCTGTCCCCTTGGGTCCTCCATCGCCTGGAATCTCAGCTGCTCTCTACTCTAAAGGACATGAACAGCTTACTATGGGGCCTCCTCTGATCCTCTGGGACCCCTGGCTTCCAAGAGGGACCTAAGGGTGGGGAGGTGCTGGAGGAAGCTGGGTGTGGAGGAACCACGTGAGGACACAGGCTAGCTCTTTGAGTCCGTGCAACTCAACTATGACCAAGAACGGGAGGCCTTAGTGTTTCTCATGGGATAACGAGAGAGGATGCCAAGGCCTACACCTATCATGCTAAAAAGAACTGCTCCTACATCCTAGGGACAATTCCTGTTTCTCCACTGGAGAAAGCTCCTCTCCCGGCTCCTTTGCCCTGGAGAGAGATGGATAAAGAGTGACTCCCTCTGTCATAGCCCAAGTACTTCCAGCCTTTGCCTAGCGAGCCCTCCCAATTCCTACTTTCTGCCCTCAAGTCAGATCTGATGAACTGTCCTTGGCTTCTAGGAAACCCTCCCTCCCCGTCTTCTTCCCGTACCCGAAGAGTCCTCACTGCAGCACCCCAGTTCTCGTGCATCTGTGCCCTGGAGTCTGGGGCTGTTTCGCTGGTAGAGAGGCCCCCTGAATTCAGCCCTCCCCAGCTGGCACAGCTTGGGGCCCAATAGGCAGAACACTTCTACATCCTCCTTACCATTGTGCAGTCTCTGTTCCCAGGTTCCTGTGCCACTCCTTGGACAAGAACACACACATAGATGAATGCTGAAGAACACGTGCTGTTGTACACAGTGGAATGATAGTCTGCCATAATGAAGGCTAAATTTGAGTTGTGTGTAGAAAAACAGATGCACCTTGAGACAATAATACTAGGTGGAATAAATCAGACACACAAAAATATTGCATGGCTTCTCTTATGTAAGAAACCCAAAGTATAAATAATTTAAAGAGCAAAATAAAAGGTACCAGGAAACAAGGAGATAGATCTTTTGCAAATGGGGAAGGGACCAAGAGGTGGAGGAGGGAGAAGAAGGAGGGGAGAAGGGAAAAGTAAAAGGAATGAAGTTGTGCTATGCACGTGTACCAACTCATCGTGATGAATGTAATCATCATGTACTGCAAGCACACACTAATAAAATATATTTTAAAAAATTAAAAACCCCCACAAAGAAGCCAGGCACAGAGGTGTGTGCCTGTAGAGTCAAGTACTCAGGAGGCTGAGGCAGGAAAATCACTTGAGCCCAGGATTTTGAGGCCAGCCTGGGGAACACTGTGATATCGCATCATATATATATATCCCAGAGATACCACTTCCTAAGAACAAACTTCAGAGCCTAGACCGACCAAAGCTATACAAACGAAAAAGAAAATGTCACCATGGGGGAAGCAGGACCTGCAAAGAAGTCACCCTGCCCACTCTGAGGATCACCTTATAGTCGTGGTACAGAGCTGTTGCAGCCCTCCCCTCTCGGGGCCAGGCTCTAGACTGCCCTTCTATAACCAAAGCTCCCGAAGTGGGGTTTCCTCTTGTCAGAAGCCAGGCCCACATCTCCACTGGGGCCTGGGAGACTCATGGGCCCAGGTAGTTTTTAATTCCCTTTAAAATTTCAAGGGAAAACACTGTGAACTTTTAAGTGGAATAATATGGTTTAATATAGGCTATATATTCATAGTGATGTCAATGCTGTTATAAAATGTAATTTCTATTTTTTTTAATGGAGGAAGAAACTCATAAAACAAAAGCTCCTAGGTCTCATGAAAGTCAATGCATTGCTTTGTCAAAAGCCAAGGATAGGGGTCTGGGGAGGTGGCACAGTAGAGAGCACCTGCCTAGCATGTGCATGGCCCAGGGTTTGGTCCCCTGTGCTGCAAAAAAGAACAATAGCAGGAAAAAAAAAAAAAACCCAAACACTGGAAATGAACAAAAATACAAAATACAGTTTTGTTTTTGCTTTGTTTTTTTTATCCTTTCTCCAAGGTTTCAGAGACTCTCGGGACTAATTTCTTAGGTGAAATTTGAGGTTTGGAGAGGCCTGGCTACCTTCTGTAGGCTTTGCAGGATGGATGCGCTGTCCAAGCTCCCCAAATTGAAGTGTAATCTCGGGGCCCAAGCCTAGGTTGGAACCAGAAGCACCTCCCTCCTGCGGGGCAAACCTCAGGGGCTTGGCTTCCTCGTTCCTTGAGGAAGGACCTTTTTGACAGCCCGAGCTTGTGGGCATTGGACTGGCACGCCTAGAGCAGGGTGAATCACCAGACCTGTTGGAAGTTCCTCTCGTAGGCGAGAGGTTTTCTTTGTGCTCTGAATGGACTAGGTACCTCCAGGGTTTCTGCCAAATTCTGAGACACTAGAATTCTGTACTATATAATTTAGGATGCTAAACCTCATGATAGAGGGGGAAAAATAAGATGGAAAAAGAAAGGGTACAATATATTCCAAAATGTACTGCAAATTCTGTTTTTCTTGCTTACTGATTTGACTCATCAGTGATGCTGATTTCTCTTAAGATGGAAAAAGGAAGCACACAATACACTCTAAAATCTAACATGGATCCGGTTTTTCTTGTTTGCTGATTTGACCCATCTGTGATGCTGATCTCCTTTAGTTTAATTTAAAGAAAACTAGAACAAATAACCCCAACACATTTTGGGCTTTTCAGACTGCATTGCAGTCTTCTTCCCTTCCCAGGTTGTGGCAGGAGCCTTGGACTCTGGACAGGTTTCTGGACTGTTCTGTCCTCTGTGAGTGCTGACTCAGCACGGCTTGGCTCTGCCTGGGTTGCCGGCTCCCAGGGCGTGGATCTCAAGAGATAAACCACCGGTTTTGTGGACTGTGAAAGTTTCAGGCAAACAGAAACACTGAGAAATGTAGTGAACAGAGATTCTGCCTGTTCTTGTAGGCAGAGCCGAGAGAGCAGGAGAGGTGGGCCAACAGGAGGAGAAGCTGTCTATCTGTAGGGCGGGTTCCTTCTGCAGCCCCCTCGGGGGGCAGCAAACCCCTCCTCAGACATCAGGGTGGGGACTCTGGGGACATGTGGCCCTTGAGGCCTGCCCGGGCCTGGGCCTGGACCCCAGGGTCCCAGGGCTCTATCTCGGGAAGTCAAAACTGATAAAGACTTCATGCTGGCCCAGTCCCTCTGGCTCCTACAGGTCCCATTGACTCTCACTTGGCCCGGCCCTTGGAGAAGCAGAGCTGTTGAAAGGGCAGCCACTCTGTTCTTGCTGAAGACTTTTTTCCAACATGAGCTCAGCAGGCCAGAGGGAGATGTACCGTGCGATAGAGTAAACTGTACCACATGACTTTTAAGAAAAAACATTAACAAAACTACCGAAATGTTAACAATGGCTGCCTTGAGGGGGATGGACTTTTTCTGTGTTGTGCTCTTTTATATTTCTAGATGTCCTATTTTTTTTCTACCATAAACATTCACTATTTTGCAATTGGCAAGAAGAATTAAAATACCAGGGGTGGAATCTTTCACATATCATGGTTAAAATTTCACATATCATGACTAAAGACTAAATATTTATGAGACAGAGAACTGGGCAATGAAAGTGAAGTGATTATTCTCTTGCAGGCACCTGTCATATGCTGTTGCCTCTAAGCAAGTGGCCGTGGCATGGTTGGTGGTGGGCAGAGCCCTTAGCACTGAGACTGGTTAATTATAGCACAATATCCAATAGGCACTTTCCAAGTGCCAGGCCATCTTCTGTGTGCCCTTCCTGTGTGTTTTATCCACACAATTACTCTGTGGGGTAGGCACTGTTACTAAAATGTCCATTTTACAGGGGAGAAAACCGAGGCAGAGAAGTTAGATAGGTGGTAGAACTGGGATTTGACCCCAGGCAACATTTGAGGGCAGAGCCTGGGAATGAACTACACACCAGTCTTCCTCTCATGGCACAAATTGAGGTAAAACCTGAAGGAAAACCAGGCAGGTCGTGAATGGCACCGTAGGGTTGTTGTCAGTATTTGCCCTGGGCCAGTTTGGATGGGTTTTGGCCATAGCAGGGCCAGGGAGTGGTCAGAAGAGCTAGGACCAACTATGTCTCGTTCTTTCTTCAGTGTGCTGGACATCTTCCCTACGGTAGTGGCCCTGGCTGGAGCCAGCTTGCCCCAAGGCCGGCACTTTGATGGACTGGATGCCTCCAATGTGCTCTTGGGCAGGTCACAGATGGGACATAGGGTAAGTGAAGGGAGCCTGCGCCTGCATCCGGGCTCTGCAGAAGGTTGAGCTGTCACATCTCTTCTGGTGCTTGGCTGCCTTTTTGCAGGTAGAACCACCGCTGGGGATGTCTTCAAGTGCTGGTTCAAACCCCGTGTGAGAAACCCTGAGGGAGAAGTGCTTTGAGATGAACCTCTCATCCCCCTGCCCCATAATCAATCCAGTTTGTTAGTCTAGATTTATACTTAATAATTTGGTGTAGGGTAAGTGTAAATGGTTGCTCATTCTCTACAATCAGTGATGTTTTTCCCTGCATGTATTCAGTTTTAGGACACAGCATAGTATGAGTTTTTGTTGGATGAGATGTCCGATCAGGGCTGTGACTTGTTTATTGTAGGGCTCCCTAGCTAGACCCAAAGTTTCCAGAGGGCAAGGATCCCAGCTGTTGGGTTCACCCCTAAGCACCTGTTCCATGCATGCATTCAATTCATGCAGAACACATGAAGGAGCAGATGAATGAATGAATGAAAGCCTTTTTGGACAGCAGAGCCTGCATGGTTGTTATGCTCCTGACATTCCTAGGAGGGCACAGCCCCCTTGCTACAGCCTGCTCCTGATCAAACTGCCCTGGCCATGGCTCTGGGCTTCTGTTTCCCAGCTTCCCTCCTTAGCTTCCCCGCTTCGGTGTGTTGGAAACACTCTGTAGCAACAGGAGCCAGGAAATGTTGGTCCTGATGGCCTTTCCCTGTCATTTCCATGTGTTTTCCTCTCTCCAAAAGGAAGAGGAAGTGGGAGGAGGGAAGGGGGCCGAAGAGCTTGGAGCCCCCTGCCTAAGGCTCCCACTTGGGGACCCACATTTCAAAGGGTCTATTTATGTCTTTGAGGGTCAGATGGAAGTGAGTCAGATGTACTCAAGTGCACCTTGGCTGGTGGCTGTTGACATTGCCCTTCCCTCCCAGCCTCCCCCAGCCAATGGAATATGGGACTTCAGTGGGCCTTTGGTTTTTCCATGGATATTAATGTGATCTTCAGGGGTTGTCAGGGTAGCCCTGAAAAGGCCCTCTGAAGAGATCTCGCTGCTCCTTAGAATATCTGCCTTTCCAGAACTGCAGACCCCTCTAGACCTGGCCCTTCTGAACGGAGCAAAGCAGGAAAATGGTTTCCGCCTTTAGCCTGGAAGTTAGCAATGTGTGACCCTGAAGGGTTATCCAAGACGTCAGTGGAGAGGTGCTCCTGAATGTTTATTGCCATGGCTACTAATAGAATAATCGGGGTCACCAGGAAGTGCTTCAAGGACTGTGGTCTTCCTGACGTGGTCGTTCTGCCTGTGGACGCCAGCTCCTTCGCGCGCTCACTTCCGTTCCCAGGGGGAGCACTCACATTCTTCCTAGATCGCAGCTTTGCACAGAGTACAGAGGCCCATCCCAGCTCCTGCCCAGGAGTTAGGCCCAGGAACTGGGTGGGAGCAGCAAATACACATCTCGACATCGTTGTGGGGGCCTGTGATGTGTGGTAATGCAGCTGCAGGGAGGACTGATTTGCTCCCTAACCACACCCTATGGCCCAGAAAGAAACAGGCAGCTGCCGCCTGCAGGAAGCTGCTGATGGTATCTTCAAAACTAAAGGCACATGGGGACTGGCACCTGTGCACCACACCCAGCTCACGGAGGGAGCACTAGATTACTCTGGTGCTGGTGAAGGCCTTTGAGATAAAACTCTTTGGAGTTTGAGCACAATGTGGGTGGTTTCTAGTCCCAAGTTTGGGTTTCGTCTTCTCTGGTCAGTCTTTCTACTAAAGTGAAGTAATAGGATTAAGGAGATTAAATTGTTTTGAATTTAGAATAGCTTTAAGAGAGGCAGCAGGTAAAAATGTAAATCCATGTCTGTACACATATGTATTTAGCACATATGTGTTTCTTAGTAAACACAGTTTATATTCACCTACCGATATGTCCTGAGCTTATAAATTATCCAATAGGGGTTGGTTTAGAAAGCGACTCCAGTTTCTAGAAGCTCAAATTACTTCCTAGCTGGTCAGCCCAAAACATATGTATGCAGATGCTTCTCAGCAATTAGTTTCTTTTCTCTATTACAAATCAAGTAACCATGGATCGAAGGGATGAGAAACCTAAAGTCATGTACCTCAGCCACCAGGTTGGGAGGTGTGCAAACCGTGGGCTACCGGCTTTCACAGCCACAAACTCACGACGTAACGTGTATGTGATACTCAGAACCCACGGCAGCTGACACCTTGCTACATATTCCACATATTCAGCCTCCCACTCCTGACTTCAGGGGCAGGTGCTGAGGATTGAACAGGGGCTTTTTTGGTTTTTTTGGGTTGTTTTTTTTTTGAGATGATCTTGTTAAGTTGCCCGGGCTGGTCTTGAATTTGCAAACCTCCTGCCTCAGCCTCCCAGAGTGCTGGAATTACAGGCATGTGCCACTATGCCCAGCTTCAATCTTGATCTTGATGGGCCTGTGTCTAGGCAGTGAGGGCAACTACAAGGAGAGAATCAAGAATTGGGACAGTATGTGGGAGGGGACACAGCCCAGAATTAAATGTTCCCGTGTGCTTCTTTGAGTCCCCAGTGCACACTAGAGTTGGTAACGTCACCAGTGATTAAGTCCTGTCTGTCTTGATCCCTCTGAAAATCATCAACAAAGAGAAAGTTTCCCTATGGCTGAAGCGGGCCAGCCCAACCCACCCGAGGCTCAGGCGGGCACGTCCCCAGAGGCCATACCTTAAGGAAACAGCCACAGTTACCCTCACAACACCCATCACTTCTCTTAGGGAGGCCCCTAGTGGTGAAAGATGTCATCTGTAGTGGCTTGCAGAGACTGATGGGCTCATCAGTCCCTTTTGGAGACTGTGAGCCTGCGCGGCTGCCTGGTGTCTACTTCTGGGGATGCTGTCTAGGCTTGGCCTCTAGGACCTGATGTAACTGGATGCTCTCATGCTCCAAAAGAACAAAACAAAGCCCGGAGTGTGGTGCTGGGTGCCTGTAGTCCCACTTGCTGAGGAGGCTGAGGCAGGAGGAGGATTGCTAGAGCCTAGGAGTTTAAGACCAGGCTGGGCAACACAGCTAGGGTGCTATCTCAGAAGAACAAAAATCAAAAAACAAAGCAAATGAGCCAGGTGTGGGTCATGGCTGTAATTCTGGCATTCTGCAGAGCTGAGGCAATAGGATCCCAATTCAAACCCAGCCTGGGAAATTTAGCAAATTAGTAAGACCTTGTCTCAAAATAAGAAAGTAAAATGGGGCTGGGGATGTAGCTCAGTGCAAAGGTCCTAAGTTCAATCCTGGTACCACAAAACAAACAAACAAAAAACCAAAGCAAACAAGCTGGTAAGAAAGGCAAGCAAGAAGCCACAAGTTTGCAGGCGAGGAAGTCATCTTTGAAATTTAGACCAAGCACCTGGAAAGGAAGAAGCTTCACCTGTGATTCAGCTTTCTTCCTATGTTCATGTAAACAAGCAAGCCACCGCCAGGCAGCTCAAAGGAAAAGAATGCATCTACATGTTTTTCAGAGTCCATCCCCATTCGTGAGAATGAGCCAGCGTGCAGTTTTGCTCGCTGTTGGATTTTGGACGTTGCGTCTGGTGGAATCTGCAGCCCACCCACTGGGATGCAGATGCCCTCCTTGGTTTGCCAGCCTTGACTCCCACCTTCTGGAGATCTGAGTGCATCCTGGCTCAGCTGACGATAGGTTGTCCTAGCGCCCCGCTTCGTGCGCTGCAAAGACATAGAGTGGTCCCCTGTGAGAGAGGCTGGCTTCCAAGGGGTGGAAGCAGCGAGGCTTCAATTAGGACTTCCTTTCCTGTTTGGGAGGAGCCTGCTGCCACCACGCAGGGGTTGACATGAAAGAGCAGAAGAGCAGGTGCGGAGGAACCCTGCCCTGGGCAGCACCCTCTCAGGGCTGTAAAACTTGGGGGACAACTGTTTACTGCTCCAACAGATGTTTCTCGTTTTTTTCAAGCCCCATGGAAACTCTGAATCACAAGCGTCTTTCAGGGATATATACGGTCATGATTCACACAAGGGCAGTCTCACGGGTCCAGCCCAAGCCACCAACCTACCACAGACAGACCTTTCATTGTCTACCAGACTCTTCCCTTGGGAACTCTGAATGAGATGTTTCCATTCTTTAGGGTAATTCTTTCATCTGTGCCTGGATGAGGGAAGATTTCCTCAGTCCAAGTACAGTAGGATTGAGTCAGAGGCGCTGGCATCCGAGTTCAGAAGTTAGCTTGTGGGTGAGGGTGTGGCACAGCGGCCGAGCTCTTGCCTAGAGTGTGTGAGGCCCTCAGGTCATTGTCCAGCACCAAAAAAGAAAACTCGCAGGACCAGAGGCGAGGTTGTACCCGGGGCTGGAGGAATTGAGAATGTTTTCTTATATCATCTTTGCTCAAGGGAAATTTGGAAAATTGACTTGAGGCTGAAAGAGGGTCCTTTTGTTCTTTCTCTCTCTCTCTTTCTTCCTTTCTTCCTTTCTTTCTCTTTCTTTCTTTCCTTCCTTCCTTCCTTCCTCCCTCCCTCCCTTTCTTCCTTCTCTCCCTACCTCCCTCTATTTTTGCACTACTGCAGATTGAACCCAAGGCCTTTGGACTGAGCTAAACAGCCGCCCTGTTAAATTTTTTTTCTTATTTTGAGGCAAGGTCTCATGAAATCACTAAGTTTCCCACGCTAGACTCGAACATGCAATCCTCCTGCCTCAGCCTCCTGAAGGAACCATTTTCCAAAGAAATCTGAGGATGGGCTGCATCAGAATCCCTGAGGATACTTGTACCAAGCCCCTTCTGCACCTGAGGGGTGGGGTTCAGGCAAGCTTCCCGGATGTGAAACTTATGCAGCCACACACCCCGATTCTTTTTTTTTTTTAATTCTTTTATTGGTACATTGTAGATATACAACATAATTACATTTCTCATTGGGAATTGTACCTTTACATAATGCATCTTGGTTCTTATTTTTTCCCCATTCCTAGCCTTCCCTTCACCCCCTCCACCCTTCCCTATTTACAAAGACTTTATTTCCATTTTTTCCATTTCTCATCATTTTTTCCTTTCCCTTCTTTCCTTTCCCCTGCCCCTCCCACTACCCCTACCCCTTTGAACCTTTTCTTCCTATTTTACATTATCGATTACTCATTCTAATCATTGGTACATTTTAGGTATACAATATAATGACATTCATCATTGGAAATTTGCACCTTTACATAGTCTCTCTTGCTTCTTATTTTTCACCCTTGCCCAGCCCTCCCTTCAACCCCTCCATTCCTCCCTATTTACAAAGATTTTGTTCCTATTTTTCCATTTTCTCATATTAATCCCATTCCCTTCTACCCTTTCCCCTACCCCTCCCACCTCCTTCCTCTTTGCCCCTTTTCTTCCTATTTCACATGACCTATTATACATTTAGTCCTTATTTACACTTTCAGTTTCTCACATGAGAGAAACACACCCCGATTCTTAAAGGACCCTGAGCTTGCTTTAAAGCTCTGCTCTGGCTGTTTTGAAATTTAAAATTTGTTAACAAGGTATCCCTGATTTTTTTTTTTTTTTTTTGAGACAGGGTTTCACTATGTAGTTCAGGCTGGCTTTGAACTCACTATGTAGCCCAGACTGGCCTCAAACTCATGACAATGCTTCTGCCTCAGCCTCCCAAGTGCTAAGGATTACAGGCACACCATGGCTGGCTCCTGATTTTCATTTTGCACTGGATGCTGCCAGTTACAGAGCAGGTATTGTGTGTAGGCATCTGACCCACCCAGCATGGTCTTTCATTCCCTGGTCCAGAGCTGTAACCCACTCTTATGCAGCTAGAACAGTGACAATTTGTGAGGCTTCCAGGAGTTGGCTAAGGTGAGCTTCAGGTGGGCCTGCAGTGTGTAGGGCAGGGACAGGAAGAAGTGGGGGACATGGTGGGAGGGGAGCTGTGACTAGCAGAGCCATGCTGTCCAGGGGGCATCTAGCATGGTGTTCTAATGCACAGGTCCTGCCTTCCTCAGGTGCTGTTCCACCCCAACAGCGGGGCGGCTGGGGAGTACGGAGCCCTGCAGGCTGTCCGCCTGGAGCAGTACAAGGCCTTCTTCATCACAGGTGAGTGGGATCCCCTGCGGGGCATGGGGACTGCCCCCTCTGAGCTGCTCAAAGTACTGCTGAGGGTGCTGGGCAGAAGGGCCCTGCACAGGCCCTCTGGACCCACCAATACAAAAAACAATTCTTCCTGTTGAATTTCCAGTGAGCTCAGAGCTCTTGCGATCTGTTCTGCTCCTTTCACTGAGTACCAGTTTGGCTGAAGGAGAAATGGAAGCCTAGAGATGCTTTAAAGTGTAATTTACTTGACAATAAACTGTTTCAGAAAATAGACTTCAGAGGTCTATTTAGTAAACAGCCAGAAGTCTCGCCGCTTCTTGGTTCACTCTGTGACTGTCTTACATGTATATTTCAGTAATATCATACAGGATCAGGGTGGTTCTCAGACTCTCCCAGTGGCTGCTTGCTGGCACCTGAATGGAGACTCATTCCTGGGTTCCGTTCATTACCAGCCCTGCTTCTCCACAAGCAAGGCCCCTCTTTGTTGGCCCTGTATTAAAACACCTCTCAGCTTTTAAGGCCCCAAACTAAATACTTCTTGGTTATAAAAGTCCCTCTGACCTTCCCAGCTGGGCAGGATTTGGGGAATTCTGGTATCTCTCTCATTCTGTCGTAGATGGCAGTCTTTGCACACATGTTCTGTTTCCTCCACTAATTCTAAGCTCTTTAAACTTACAACACTTCAGTTCTTTAATGTCTGTTGAAGTGCTTATTTAATTTCCACTTAGTAGGAACTCTCACGTTTTCTTAATGAATGAATGAATGGGGAAAAAATGCAAAATCCAGGACCCGATAAAGATTCCAATTCAATTTAGTTATTTAATGTTTGAGATTTCTAAAGAGTTACATAATAAAAAACCAAAAATTATTTTCTCTGAGTGTAAATAAATGACCCCAAAGAAAATGTGGCATCAAAAGCAAAACAAGTTCTCTGAATTTATAACTCAAGGGATATTAGGCATGTCACAAGAATCTTTGTTGCTCTAAACCCTAAAACAAAACAATCTGATATTTGCTATGGTTTCAGATGAAAAGTACTGAGATTAGAGTCCTTATATTACACTATCTAAGAGGTATGGGACCTCCAGGCTGAGTTAATTTCAGAAGTAATAACTCTGCCAGAAAGCCCTTGGCATCACAGTGTTGGAATCATAAATGTTGCTGTGAAGTAACAGGGCTGTTTAAAGCTATCACAATCAGACAGGAATTACAGTACCCAGTGGAGGCCTGCTCTTCAGAGGCGCCACCAGACTCCCAGGAGAGGCAGGGTGGGGAGTGGTGAGCTCTTGACACGCAGAAGAAAATTGTGAATAGGGCAAAACATGGATATGTTCTCATTCCTACCCCACTCTTTTACAGTTTGCATTCTAATTATTTAAAACTGCTTTTGGATAAGGTGGGTGAATTGACATCTACTCCATTAGGTCAGAGAACACTGTGTCCCTTGATCATGAGGCTATGATATTATTATGGTCATAAACTAGGAGTGGCCTGAAAAGACAGCCAATCTGTTTTGATGTATGGGCTAGAAGTAAGGCACCTCATTGCTTTTCTGTTTCCTTTCCCTTTTTGTTTAATAAAACAATTATGGTGAATTTTACACCCGGAAGAAGGCACAGATCTAAAATGTACAATTTGATGACTTTACAAGTGTCCACACCTGCATATGTACTTTCTCATGGCGTGAATTACACAAACTGATTTTCAGTTATTAAGCCAACTTTGCATTCCTGGATAAACCCCACTTAGTCATGATGTTGTTATTATGCTTTTTAATACATAACTTTGCCAAGATTTGTTTGTAATTTGCCTTTCTTGTAATGCCTGTGTCAAGATTTGGTATTGAAGTTTTGCAGATTTTATAAAATAAGGTTGTAAGAGTTCCCTTCCTGGTTTTCTGAAAGGGTTTGTGTAAGATTGGTATTTTTTTTCATTTCTGATTGAATTCACTTGTCAAACTATTTTACAACTCCAGTGCTGTAAAGATTTTGCCCTATGTTTTCTTCTAAGAGCTTTTATTGTTTTAGGCCTTTTTTTTTTTTTTTGGTACCTGGGATCGAACTCGGGACCTTGCCCTTGCGAGGCAGGTGCCGGAACGACTGAGCTAAATCCCTGGCCCTGTTTTAGGTCTTTAATCCATTTTGAGTTAATTTTTGCATGTGTGGTTAGGTAAGAGTCCAACTTCATCCTTTGACTTGTTTTTTGTTTTTTTTTCTTAAATTTCTTTATTGGTACATTGTAGGTATACAACACAATTACATTTCTCATTGGGAACTTGTACCTTTACATGATGCATCTTGGTTCTTATTTTTTCCCCATTCCTAGCCCTCCCTTCAACCCCTCCACCCTTCCCTATTTACAAAGACTA